CTCGAATTAGCATACAAATGGTGGGAACTCTTTGCAACGAGCATTTCTGTGCTGCAACAAAGAAATGCACCCTGCAAAGAAAGCTTCAAATTGGCGGGAAATTCTCCCTTGCACCGGGGTTCTCTTTTGCAGCAGAAAACTCCACCGTGCAAAGAAGCTGTAATTTAACAGGAACAATTTAGCAGTGCCGAAGCACACAAAAACAAAAATCACACCCTTTGGGTTGTGACATCATCCAGCCTGTATTTCCTTAGCTTGCCTGCAAGAATGTTGTGGGAGACTGTATCAAAAGCCTTGCTAAATTCAAAGTATACCACATGCACTGGTTTCCCTGCATCCACAGAGCCGGTCATCTAGAAAGCAATCAGATTGGTCAGGCATGGCTTGCTCTTGGTGAATCCATGCTGACTGTTCCTAATCACCTTCTCCTCCTCCAAATGTTTAGAAGTAGATTCTTTGATGACCTCCTCGATTTTTTCAGGGACTGAGGTGAGACTGACTGGTCTGTAGTTCCCTGGATCCTCCTTTTTCCTTTTCTTAAATATGGACACTATTCTTGCCCTTTTCCAATTACCCAGGACCTCTCCTGATAGCCATGAGTTTTCAAAGATGATCGCCAGTGTCTCTGCAATCACAACAGCCAACTCCCTCAGCACCCTTGGGTGCATCCCATCTGGCCTCATGGACTTGTATATTCCCAGTTTTTCTAAATAATCCCTAACCTCTTATTTTGTCACTGTTGGCTGCTACCTCCTCCCCAAACTGTGCTGGCAGGTGCAGTAGTTTGGGAGCTGACCTTGCTTGTGAAGACTGAGGTGAAGAAGGCATTGAGCACTTCAGCCTTTTCGGCATTCTCTGTCACAAGGTTGTCTCCCCCATTCAATAAAGGAACCACATTTCCCTTGGTCTTCCTTTTGTTACTGGCATATTTGTAGAAACCCTTCTTGTTACCTACCATGTCCCTTGCTAGCTGCAACACCAATTGCACTTTGGCCTTCCTGACTTCATCCCTGCATGCTAAAGCAATACTCTTATACCCCTCCCTAGTTGTTTGTCCAAGTTTCCATTTCTTATAAGCTTCCCTTTTGTTATTTAGTTTACTGAAGAGTTCCCTGCTTAGCCAGGCTATTCTTCTGCCATATTTGCTAATCTTCCTGCACATTGGGATGGGTTGTTCCTACACTCAGTAAGGCTTCTTTAAAGTACAGTCAGCTCTCCTGGACTCCTCTCCATTTCAGAATGGCTTCCCAACCCTGAGTTAGTTGAAGTCTGCTTTTCTGAAGTCCAGGATACTTACTCTGCTGCTCTCCTTCTTTCCTTTCCTCAGGATCCTGAACTCAGTCATTTCATGGTTGCTGCTGCCCAAATGCCATCTGCTAGTATACTCCCCAACAATTTTTCTCTGTTTGTGAGCAGCAAGTCAGGAAGAGCACAGCCCCTAGTTAGATGCTCTGGCACTTGCACCAGGAAGTTGTCCCCAACACTCTCCAAAAACTTCCTGGATTGCCTGCGCACTGCTGTATTGCCCTCCCACCAGATGTCAAAGGGACTGAAGCCCCCCATGAAAACCAGGGCCTGTGATTGGGAAACTTCAGCTAGCTGTTTGAAGAAAGTCTAACTTCTTATGTTTACCCTGAAGTAATCAACAGGCTAAACTAAATCTAGTTAGGCATTAAAGGTCTGCGTGACATCAGATTTCTGGCTGTTGACTGGGACTAGCAAATAAATATCAATCTCCTATCAATACTCCTGTATTGCACATAGTGGTAACCCTTAATCTAAAACTGTCAAAAATAGGTTTTAAGTAAATGGAAAAGTTTATTTGTAGATTGCAGGTTTGTGAAATCTTTTTAAGCAGTAATACTTCGTCTGCTGCAGTTATGATGACTGCAATTCTTTTTGCTAAAACCTGCAGTTTCTTATTCAGAGCAGGTGCTTCCTTTGGCTATAAAAAGTTTATGCCATAACCACTCTCTAGCACAACTCTCAACACCCATGAAGTGATAAGGGAAGTTCACATGATTCTTGCAACTACACAAGAAATATTGCTGTACTTGAATTATGCATTTATTCACATAATATTTGCATTCAAATTACTTTTCATGGGGGAGGATTTGTAGGCACAGATAATAATACTCTTATGATAACAGAAAAAAGTTGCAGTGAATCCCACCATAGTTCTCCCACTTAGCGAATCCGAGTGAGGGGAGAGGGGAACACTGTATAATGGAATGCTCCTTACTGATCCTGAACAAGATGGCTTCATACGCTTTGCCCCATATCTGCAACACACAATCCCAAAATGTCAAAATCCTGCTTATTAAAGTACTGCAGCTTTTCTATATATCCCCAAATTGTGACCATTTCCTTGGGCATATAAATGTTACAATGGAAGAGCAGTAGGGATGGCTTTTGTGCACCAGCTGATGTAATGGGTAATTTTCTCAACTACTCCCTTCCTGAATATTTTTATAACCTTGCCCTGTTGAATGCATCCCACCCTAAGGTAAGGTAAGGTAAGGTAAGGTAAGGTTTCCTGTGCCTTCAACTGCTGGAACTAGAACTGGAATTTTGCCTTGTATGCAAAAAGATTGCTTGTACACTATTCCACTCAGAAGGTGGACTGAAATGACTATCTGTACCAGCACCAACTTCAGGAGTGGAAAGCAAAGAGTAATTTTTTAAACTTCTGAGCTAGAGATCAGATGAATGGTAAACCGGGATTCAGGACTAACATTTTCAAATTTGGGTGATAAAATGTAGACACTTAAGAACATCCCTTAATTAATCCATTTGTCCACAGTACCCAGTGAAGTCAATGGGAACTTGGTGCCTCTGCAAACTAGGCCGTTCCTATGTGTGTAACCTTTGGTGTCTACATTTAAAGTTAAAACAAAACAAAAAAATGTCCCGAGTGAGCTGTGGCTTTCAATTTCATGGAAAAAACCTCAAGTTCACCTTGTTAAACAGCTGGCAAAGACAACGTTGAAAAAACCTGGGCAGTTATATATTTATCAGGCTCTTTGAGAAGGTTGGGAAACCCTGGGTTGTTCAGCCAAGCTACGTAGTAAGAGTATGGACAGCTGGTAAATTCAAGTCCATACCGCCTCATCATAATCTATGGGTGAAGTTTTCCCCTTCGTTGCTGTTCTTGGAAAGAAGATGGTGTCAACTTCCAAGGCCCCCCTCTACTAATTTAGATTAGCTACACGTGCAAATGAACTCTGGCACCTTAAGAAGGGCCAACCAGCTATCAAGTTATTGCTGGAAAGTGTGTAATAACTTCATAGCTGGTTTCTAGCCAGCTTTAATTTGCATGTGTAGCCTGTGGCCCCACAGCTGGGAGACTGCAGCTGCTGTGATCTCCTAGCTGCCAAGGCACCCTGGGGCTGCAAGTCCCACACCTGGCAGGACGCTCAGGCCCCGCTGCACCCTGCATCCTGTGGGGAGCAAGAGTCCTGTCAGCTATAGGACCTTGTTATTTGCCAGTGTAGGGGCAACGTGGGATGGCGATCCCGAGCTCCCCCTGTACCTGCAATAAGGCACATAGGGGAGGAGGCATTTGATAAGTCTTCAAATACCTGAAGGGCAATTACAGAGATGGAGATGGGCTTTTTTCTCTGGCTGTAGGGGACAGGATGGGGAACAGTGGCCTGCAGCTTCGTCAACAAAAACTCAGGCTTTTTTTTTTTTTTTTTAAGGAAAATTTTTCATGTCCCAAGTAAAATCAGCCAAATCACTTCCAAATCTGTGAGTCATTCAAGAACCATATGTAACCCTATTACCGGCAAACATCCTCCACCTCCACCCCAGGCTTCAGATGCTTCCAAATCCTTTGGCAGGCGTCCTGCCAGGAGGCTTGGGGTTCGGATGTCCCCGGGTTTCCCTTGCCCTCAGCCATAGGGCCACAGGAGCAAGCTAGGGAGTTTTTTTGAAAAGTATCTATTTATCTATATGAGGTTATATCTATATCTACACTCCAAGTATTACTCCACAAAGAAAACCATAACCCGTTACCAAAGCCGCACCTGTGCAGCCTGCACAAAGGCCCGCGGGACACACACACACACGTCTCCTTCAACAGGGAAAGGGTAGACTGGAGAGAACTAGGAGGGAGTTTCGGACTACGAGGGCAGTCAGGCACAAGGACAAGCTCCCTAAAAAGGTGGTGCAATCTGAATCCTTGGACGTTTTCAAGAGCAGCTTGGACAGACCCTCGTCCGGGAGGGCTTAACCAGGAATGAACGGGCCGTGAGCTCCATGGCGCAGCCGGGCCTCT